ACAATCTAATGAATGTACTGTATAGTAAAACAAAATGCTTTTAAGAGATTTAAAGAAAATTGTGTGTGAATCCATTGAAGCAGCATCTGGAAAGTCCAACTGCCCAATTTCCAATTGTTTTGCTATATGTATAGGGATGTGGCGCTATCTAAGGGGGGAGAAGAGCCCAGTCACACTTCACTTGATACAGAACTGTCATTTTATCTTCCTTATGGGAACAATAGGGTTAAGATGACACCCTTCCATAATGATTAAAATCATACTGAGCAAATCACCATGCTAACAATCTAACTTACACTGAATGCTGCCAAGGACGCCCATCAAAGACACATAGAATTCTTTGAAAATGAAACCTACTACCATACTATTGAACCAGAGTGATGCTGTGATGTGGTATAAAAATACCTGGAGTGAATAGCTGTGCTACAAAGTCAAACTAAGATATACATCTAAAATTGTTCTACTAACCTCACAGCTAACAGGGAAAGAAATTTGGTTGACTTGAGCAGTTTGGACTATTTTTAAAAGAATTGTTGGCATCAATTCCATTACAGCGAATATTTTCATCTTGTTACAATTATTTTCTTTAGTTTCTTATAAATACAGCTAATGCTGTGTTCACACTTGGGCGGCATCGGTTTTGTGCGTATGTACGCACGTGTTCAGCATTCGCTATTTGCATGTTGTGCACATTTGTATGCGCTTTGTACATACGTACAGGAAGACAAGCATCTTGACTGGCAGCTTAAGAAACATTGCGGGCAATGGACGAACACAAGTACAAACATGCACGAAGTTTTGTTGCTTAGGTGTTCACACCTTGGCGACTCCTGACGATTGCCACGCGGTGAGGTGTCGCCTAGGCGTGAACCTAGCCTTAAAGTGATCCTGACACTTCTGGGTGTGTCTACTACCTGCTCACTCCGCTGAGATTCCTCCCGCCCCAATTTGTACTGATGTAGAAGCCAGTAATAGGAATCACAACATGTGGCGGGAGGAGAAGGTATATGACACAGCCAGGAGGTATTGAAGACCTTAATCGGCCAAGGACCAGCAAAGCAGGGGAACACATGGTGTGACAAGTGGCAGGTCAGATCCCTCCATGCTGCCACCAATATGTGACAATACCCCCCTTACCCTGCAGATATTTTCCAGCTTGCAGAACAATCTAAGATTCAGCAGACTGAAAGCGATTAGGGCTGCAGCTAACGATTATTTTTATAATCGATTAGTTAGCCGATTATTAAGTTCGATTAATCGGATTTAAAAAAAAAAAAAAAAAGGCTCCAGTGATGGACTACTAGTTTCTATTGAGATTGTAGTCCATCACGGGAGCAAGCTTGGCACAAAGGAAGTAAAACAAAAAAAAAGTGTGGTGTGCAATATAGTACATTATACAGCGGCGCAGTGCAGAATACCAGCAGCTATAGAGGAATGCAGCAATTGTAAATTATACTATAATGTACTATTGCTGGGATTTGTAGTCCTCTATAGCTGGTGGCATTCCCCATTGCGCTGTATATAATGTATTATTGCTGGGCTCTGATGTATTCCTCTAGATGGCGTTATTCTGCATTGCGCTGTATAATGATTATACGGCGAAATGCAGATTACCACTGACCAGTTATAGAGGAACTACAAATCCCAGCAATAGTACATTATACTATACTATTACGTGTATAATGTATTATTGCTGGGCTCTGATGTATTCCTCTAGATGGCGTTATTCTGCATTGCGCTGTATAAAATGTATTATTGCTGGGATTTGTAGTCCTCTATAGCTGGTGGTATTCCCCATTGCGCTGTATAATGATTATACGGCGAAATGCAGATTACCACTGACCAGTTATAGAGGAACTACAAATCCCAGCAATAATACATTATAAAGCATAATGGAGAACACCACCAGCTATAGAGGAACAACATTTGTTGTTCCTCTATAGCTGCTAATGTTCTGCAGTGTGCCGCTTAAAAAAAAAAAACAGTAAAACATTAAAAAGCTCCCGGCCAATCTCGACTTACCTTGAATGACAGTGTTGACGGCGGGCAGCGGCATTGTTGGTTGTCGGCGGGCAGCGGCGAGTCGGGTAGCTCACCGGGAGGAGAGGGCCAGATGCATGTCCTCAGCGTGTGCGATGGGTGTGGCGTAAGTGGGTTTACCGGCGTGTGCGGTGGCCATGTCGCAAACGGCTTAACCGACGTGGGCGTGGCATGAGCGGCGAGCGGGAAATTTGAATTTTAACCAGACGTTTTCCATCGTCGATTTTAACCGAATAATTGTTGCAGCTCTAGTGAACAGGTGCTAGTCCTTTCCTATGTGAACAGGGAGGAAAGTGCTAACCACATGAGCAAAATGGAACATAATTCAAGTTGCACTAGTTTGTATTGAGGGCAGGCAAGGATCAGCTTATTTTAATAGTGAGCACTTTTCAATTTAGTCAGAATCTCTCAAGGAAACCTCTTACTATTGAAAAGGGCCCTCCCTTTTCAATAATAAGAGGTTTCCTTGAGAGATTCTGACTAAATTGAAAAGTGCTCACTATTAAAATAAGCTGATGTCGTTATATTCAGATCACTACAGTTACATTTCTAGTGTAGTCCACTCCTGACTTACTTTCAGAAGCTGGGCCCTCGATTGTCTGTGGGCCAGCAGCGGGCGAGGAGGAGACCAGCTGCGTGCGTGGCTTCAGCCTGTGCGGTGGGCGTGGCTTATGTGGCAGCTCACGCCAGGTGAGGGAGCTCACGGCTAGGAGGAGACCAGAGGCGTGCACGGCTTCAGCCTGTTCTGTGGGCGTGGCTTATGCTGCGGCGGTGGGCACGTCGGGCGCAGCGGGAGCAGCGTGTGACTCAGGCCGCCTGTGAAGCCCCGAACAGGCTAAGCAATCGATAGCCGACGAATCGACGATCGAAAACGTTGCCAACGTTTTCAATTGTCGATTTTAATGTACTAAATCGATGAACTGTTGCAGCTCTAAAAGCGATCCTCACTGGTGTTGGTTAACTCCAGAGTTAACTCTTTACCCACACAGCAATGGCCACCACCATATGCTTCAATGGAAACATGCACCGATCCCAGCAAATGCTGTGACAATTCCAACATTAAGCAATGCCTGCGATGCTTGCTATCCCCCCAGACAGGAATATAATAGATTTTACAATATGGTAGTGCTATTCACAGAGGCAAAGATTCTTTAAATTCCTATTTAGAGCATAGAGATAAGCTTAACAATTCTAAAGGATCCTTTTTAATAAAGCAAAGTGTGCAGAAAATATACAGAAAAGATGTTACAGAGAAGAGAAAAATACAAACAGCAAAACAAAAACAGAATAAACATTAAATTACTTTGCAAAGTCCGGGGTGCTATGGGCACCAGCAGAGTCCAGTCAACGAAACATAAAATGGATCCAAGATTGGCTCTCTAGAAACAAGTCTCTTAGCAGATGTTCTTTTCTTGATAGTAAAGGAGAGCTACGGCTACCTTGTGCAGCAGCATTTTTTGGGCCTTCAAGAAGGCATCACTGAGCCAGCCACCACCCATTCAGAAAGGGCCAGAAGTGTGAGCTGAAGCGCTTTATGATATTTCACCTGGCCTCCCATAATGTCGGTTTACTAAATGTAGCTATATTTTTATTCACCCACATGCATGGTGGTGGTGTGCACTTAAGAGTATGGCATGCAGTACTTTTGTGCACTGCTGCAGAGTGCCCGCTTTTACCTTGTGAAGATTTGTCTCTAGAAATTCTCTGGTCTTCCCTAATGATTACCTTAACTATGAATTTTACACACTTAAGTGCTTACTCACAATGTAATATTTAAAAGATTATTGTGCTCAGGGTTCTTTACTATTTATACAGTAATAAGCACCATGATCAGGTGCAGGTTAGAAGTTAGAAAGATAACAGCACCTGCTTTAGATTTGGTAATTTTACACAATTAGCAGCCATGCACTGATTTTTATTTAAGGGTGCTACCGGGTGCTTGCAAACATACTTGCTTACATGCCATTTCTAGCCTAATGACACTAAAAAACGTTGTATTTACTTGTATTGTATAATACATTGTAATACAATGTTGAGCCATTTGATTCTTTTGGTAGGCAACATAAGGCATGCTATTGCTCCAAATGTCATTCTTGAAGTAAACCTATCATGTGTAATGAATGCCATTGATGACCATCTTCTGAAACTGCTAGCTGCTTGGCTGTTATGCTGCCCTACTGCCCTTCAGATTAGGGACTGACACCAGAAATTTGGCATACCAACCAAGCAATATGCATTTTCAGAAGGAGAGATCAGAAATTACATCTTTCCCATTTCTCTGATAACTTTTTTTGTCATCATAGAAATGACAAGAAAATCTGACAAAATATCTATGCGTGAATACCATTTAAGTTTCTACCTCCAGCTGCAATCGCCATGAAGTTAAACACAATAACAACCTAGCATGACAACTGGGATCCCCCTGGCAAGAGTCATATAGGTGAGCAGAGTGTAGTCACTGGAACGCGCTTGGTGTGAACAAGGTCTTACTTGAGCAATATGATGCTGACATTCAAGTCACCAGCCACAAAAAAATAGTCCATTATCTATGCATGGGGCTTGTCCAGCTGTCCACCAATGAATCAAAAACTTTAACACGCTGATCTTAAAAGCATATATTTTATGTTAGCCCATATACAAAATGCTTTACAGAGCTTTAGAAGCAGCAGCTCTGGAATGCTTCAGTATTCAGGGTAAAACAAAATTTAAGCCTAGAGCATCACTTCCAAATGCCCAAAATATACAGTTCAATTTTACAATTTGATATAGAGGGATGAACAAATAACATTTTGATAGTTTTTCTTATACAAAAGTCAACTTTAAAAAAAAATATAAAAATGTTTTAATTACAGAAAGAACACACAGAGTGGAGGAAATTGGTGGATGTTTTTTTGAATAATAAAGCCCAAGTTTTCACAGATGCACATTCCAGGCCATATATGACAAGTTTCATAACATACCTTGTCAAAAGGAATTCCATATTTCTTTAGTATTGATGGCGATATGAGTGTCATTTTATGCCGAAGAAATGCTTCACATCCTTGACAGCTGCTGGGGAAAAAACCTAAAAAATAAAAAGCCTTATATTAAAATCTATTTCAAAGCATATACTGAAGTAAAAAGATAATATCTAAAGATGGCTGGACAACAAAAGAATGAATGATCACACCAGACTACAGTGTTACCAGTAATGAAACTACTATTGGAAACAATATCCTGAAGGGTTAAAAGAGAAGAATTGTTCAGTGGTCAAAGATTTACAGTCTGTGACCACCACCGCATGGTCATTCACACATAACAAAAATCGCCTGCTAAAAATGGCTGTAAACAGATTGTAATGGGCTGGTAAACATTGTGCGAGAGATGAAAAACAGCATGAACATTATCAGAAAGCAACATGAAGTAAAGTAATCTTTTACTAAAATACCTGTTATAAGCTAGTACTTGAAAACAGACTTGCAACATTTAAGAATCTAATAACAGAAAAACAGCTCACTGGAGGTTATGGAGAGAGAGAGGTATCAAGGCGACATATTTGTGTCTTAGCTTCACTTTTCTAAATTATGGCTACAATTAAGCCACCTTTAGCCTTCTGACGAGCCAAGTGTGACTATCTTGTTTATCAAAATGTAAAAGAAAATGTTTTGGCTTTCGTTATACTTTTATTTTTTATCAGAGTTTTATTAGGTTTTCATGTACAGTATAAATCATACAAAACATACATAATAAAGGAAAACAAAAATAAAGCAAGAATAATGCGGTATATAGGCATTGTCAAGGTTTATAGGGATGGAACATAGCAAAAAGCATTAGTGCATTCCTCGTACAGCAAAGGGGGTAGGAGTACATGTTCTTTTTGGGACCTTGGCAGTCCAAAATGTGTGCAGCCAGTGGCGGAATCCATTAAGTGGTAGGAGAGCATACGACCCTTGGACCTTTCGTTATACTTTAATACCACTATAGAACAGTTTTGTAGAGTGATGAGAATTTAGAACACCTGTCATATTTTTATTGCTGTCCAAGTCCCCATTACGGAGATCCTTTCCCTGTCTTGGAAATCTTCTAGTGGAGACACCAGTGCATGTGACAACAACATAAGAGTGAGCTTCCCTCACATTGAAAAGATATCCTCAATCCCTGTTGTGTCTACAGGACAAAAAGTGAAGGGAAATACGACAGCCTGCTACAAAACGTTTGCCAACTTCTTGGCCCCTCACTTTATCACTGCCTTCAATTCAAAAATACATTATGTTATAATACATTTACCACCGAATTTTTTGGTAAAATAGAAAAAGATGGGGTCACGTCGGTTACATAGACACCAAACATGTCAAGCCTTAAAATTGCGTGCACCCGCAAAAATCCCCAAAAACTACCATACCCAAAATTGGCCATAGGCAATGCTTTAAAAGCTTTCACAGCTCATTAGTTTAGCGTTCCATTTTGTTAATTGACACAAATAAACTATGAACACTTATTTCTGAAAACATTCTTACTTTACAGCATTTTTTCACACCTGCCTAAACCTTTTGCACAATACTGTATACAACATTTATATGGTTTTATTGCACCCCTTTTATCTTTTTCCAGCATACAGGTCTGCATTACAAAAAGGTACTCTTTTACCAAAATCAATACCTATGTCGCAAAATAGGTGTGTGTGTGTGTGTGTGTGTGTGTGTGTAATAGCAAATCATCCACCAGCTGATTAGTTTGGTTTGCAGGCTCTACAACCAATGCTTCCACTTATAAACCATTGTATGTTATGTTCCCAGCACTACCAGATACATTAGAGCCCTATTTGCTAATATTTCTGCTAAAAGCACCCAGGACCTGTGGAAGTAGGAACTTCTCCATATAATTACATTGAGAGGACTCTCCATATAAACACAAGAGATTTGCCATGTGGTGGCTGGGTAATAAGTTTACTCCTCCCCTGAATCTTGAGAGAAAGACATGGTTGTCACCGAGGCTGGACTTAAACCATGTCTGCCTCTGTTCATCTTCATTACAAAGGGGGGAGATTAGTAGCGGACACAAGAAAGAGATTGTTTTTGCTCATCCCAGAAGTTCATCACACAGGAAGTGACAAGGACACTGTATTTCTGGTAAAATAAATGGGCATTATACTTCCTAAAAACATTTTTACCCAGAAAAATGAAAATGAATGCAGCTGTCCCATCTAAAGATTGGTAAACTACAATATATCACATGCCTGTTCTTGGCTTTAGATATGCTTTAAGACAACACATCATTAATTGTATTAATTTATGTAATGCTCATTAAATTAAAAAGAGATGCATTGTTTTTGCACACTAAACATTCCCATCATCCTTTATTACTCTACATCAAGGTGTTATATTTGTACGCAAGCAATAAAGCATATTAATACAATGAAATAAACCAATTTTGCTTAGATAAAAGAACAATTTATGTTTGCATTCTGCAACAATTTATTCTAACATCAGAAAATGTATTTCACCTCAATACAAACACATTTCATGGGCATAAGCAATGATGAGAGACTTCAGAGGAGCCACAAATATTATTTAAATGCTTGCCTTGGAAAAATGCACTAGGGAATGTTAAATGAGAAAGAATGCTTTTAAATTTACATTATGATAATAGTCACAAATATGCATATCAAAACAAAATGAAAAGCAAAAGTGACCACCACTAAGTCTACTGCTTTTGCATAGAATTTATTCTGCTACAAAAAGCACAGTTTTACCAGCAGTATTAAAAAGTAAGAAATGTGAAAAGCTGCCATTACTGACCTGCTCCTGAAAATGCCAGGTGGCTGGCTGTATCTGACTCTCATACAAAGTCTCAGAACTGGAGCAAGTATGTAGCAAGTGAATTCACTGTTAGAAGAATTGTGACTCAAAGTATAAGGCTGGGTTCACACCTAGACGTATCGAATATGCGCATTTGTTGCTCGTTTCATAGTTTAAAAAAGCGCGACAAACGCGTGTTTCCGAGGGCTACTTGGCTGTATCTCGACAAAAACGCCCCAAAGAAGCTCCTGTACTTCTTTGGGCGTAGGGCGTTTTGTAGCGTGTTCATACGGCCTGTAATACGCCCAGGTGTGAACCATACCCGTAGGAAATAATGGGATTTCGGTGTTTGAGCGTTTTGCAGAGCGTAGGAACGCGCTACAAAGCGCCCAGGTGTGAACCGGGCCTTAGTGCCAGAAAGACAGTATAAAAATCAGTCAGCGTTTACAAAAGGAAATCAGTAATGGCAGCCATTATATTGTGATCTTGAAATTTCCATTTAAAGGCTCAAGACATTACAGAACAGTTTAACACGCATGTATGATTCATCTTACCATGTCTTTGGTTCCAGTTACTTTCGAAATAGGGATGTTCTAGTTCCATAAAGCTGGACATACACCTATAGATTATCTGCAGATTTTCTGTGGCCAAATGGAAAAAGTGCAACAGATTCCTCCATCTACGCTAAACTGTGTGGGTGGAGGAATCTCCCACTGGGCCAAGCTTCAGTATCTTGCTAGTCGGCCCCGCTGGCTGTCAAAATACCTGAACAATGCCTGCATCCAATCAGATTCTTAAGGTGTTTTGAGAGCCAGCGGGGCCGACTAGCAAGATACTGAAGCTTGGCCCAGTGGGAGATTCCTCCACCCACACAGCTTAGCGTAGATGGAGGAATCTGTTGCACTTTTTCCATCGGACCATAGAAAATCTGCAGATAATCTATAGATGTAAGGCCAGATAAAGTGTTCCTGTTTAAAGCCCAACTTTGGGCACAAAACACTTAAAGTTCAGTAAGTTGTATAGCCCCTTTGCTGTAAACATGGCTGCAGCACTGCAGGTCTCATAGACCTCATCGCTGCAGTCGCATCTCCGTCCCACTCTCTTCCTGTCCAACCACAAAGCAAATGGGCCCATGCTCCATTTTGTTATTGGCCAGGAGGGGGGTTGGGGGTGGAGATATGACCACAGTGTGGTCTAATTATGGCAGGGGTGTTTACAGAAAAGGCACCATATAAATTACTTAAGTGCAGTAAGTGTATTGTGCCCAGAGTTGGGTTTTAAGGCAATGAAGAAGGAAGGGGAGTCACATGGAAACATCCCCAGAGCCAGGGAAAACAATATCACCTGTTATCTAACCTTTCTGATCACTTTCTTCTCCAAAAACACTCGTACAGGACTAAAACTAGCAATGCACGGCTCAAATTCCTGCCAAATCGGCTGAAAATTAAAGCTATGGGTGGCCCTGTCAGCAGCACCAGCAGCTGTCCGAATACAATATTTGGCAGGGAAATTTCCTCCAGAATCTACAGATTTTCTCTTGTTTAACCTGCGAGGATTTCGGTCCTTCCACTTGAGAGAATAACACAGCCCTTTCATACTGCACAGCCAGGCAGATAACACCACTTTCTTGGTGAGGCAGTTATCGCACTGCTGTGTTGTGGTCACGCCATAACGCACAACCATGCAATGTAGTTTTGCTGCATTGCTTAAAATGGTAGATGCACTTTGTGTGTTTTGGTTAACATGCGACACAATAAATGTGCATTAATTCACTGCGCAAATGTAAATAGGCCCTTACAGGTAAAGGTGGCCATACACTCTACAACCATCGCAAGACTTTTGTCTTGCGATGGTTGTAAAGGGATTAAAAAAACGTACGATCTGCCTATCTTGGACAGGCAGATCGCACTCTTGATCATCGCAAGCCCGCCCCCCTGAGGGGCGGTCTTCCGATGACCGCAATGCTGAACGGGCAGTGTGCGCGTGCGCACACCGGCCCGTTCAGCATTTATCTTCCAAGCACCGTTCTAACCAGCCGAGAATCGTACGATTCCCGGCTGGTTTTCGAACATGCTGGTTCGACAGAAGACGTGCGACCGTACAGTAGAAACGGTCGCACGTCTCCGTTCACACTGCTCGATTATCGTACGAAAAACCGATCGCATACGATTATCGTACGATAATCGTGCAGTGTATGGGCACCTTAAGACTGTAGAAGGAACAGTGGGGCCCTCTATCCATTCCCAGCCTATTAACTGGACAGTGAATGAGTAGCAGCATGCTGAAG